TATGACGGTCATAATCTCTGCTTTGGAAACCAAACTAAAACAACATATGGATCCACTTTGCTACAGGATGTCTCCCTATTTATGAATATATTTCAAGTATTTCACCTCACACATTCTGTGGAGCATTTATTCACCACACACATAAGCAGAAGACGGTTTTAGATCTGTATAATATAGTTTTAGTCGTTTTATAATATGTTTTTACACCCAAACTCGGTGGTTTTACGAGTTACTCCGGCCTGTGGAGACTGTAAGTAAAAGTGATTTATCATTTAAGAGTGGAAACACAGAAAGAAGTTTAACCTTTGGACATTTGAGTTATATTTTGTGGTGTTTTTATATTATAGACTAAACGTGGAGATAAGGGACCAATAGGAGCAGAATTTCTTTAATTTCAATAAACAATTCACCTCTTATCATTATCATTATCCATGTCTTGTTTCCAAATGTTAACATTCAAGATCTCTTACCTTAAATTCGCCTCCCACTTTCATCATCCGGGTCTGAATCATCCAACAAAAGTCTCATCTGGCGCTCAGAAATCTGACACCAACCATCTCCCCCGTCCGCGCGCGCTCACATAAAGTCAAAAAACATGTTTTCCCCGCAGATAATCACTAATTCTGACAACATAATCTGACGGCCCGTGCCCTCTGCCGACGAGCTGCCTCCAAATCCGGGGAGTGCCGCGCGCCCCGGGCTGCGCGCGCCCTGCGCAAAGTGTCCTGGGCATTATCCGCATTAGCGGGAATTACGCAGACCGTCTCGCGGGGATGTAGTGGAGGGTAAATCCAGGCAGGCTATTCTCACTCTGCACAGCTAGTTTCGACAACGTGAAGTGGAACGAAACGCCTTGACAGACCTTTTTAAACTGGTTCTTTAAGAGGAGATCAATAAAAACATAAATGCGCATAAGCGCTATTTTAATTAACTGATGATAATTCTATTACAATCATGTTTTAGATACTAGCAGGTGATGGATGTAGGCCACTGTTTCTGGTCCTTTTATTTATTTTGATTCAGCCATGTTTCCTCCTCATGGGGCACCAGAGGGCTGCCTCTCCTTCTGGGAAAAGCGGGCCCTAATAGACTAACTGACCCAGATTACCAATCTGTAATCTGCAGATTACCCGGATCTGTGACCACTTGTGTTTATGTTGGCCGAATTAGTTGTTTTTTTTTCCCTAATCGAGGCCACTTATGTCAAACAACAATTAGAATCGTTGACGGCTGAGAACAAAAAAAAAAAACGGGAGCCGTAACAGACGGACACGACGGGATTTTATTCACACGTGAAAATTGACTTTAAATAAATGGTGGAAATGACATTTCTGCAGGACTGTCCCTGTAATGAGTCCACTGTGAGGCTGGGGGGGGCAGTAAAAGTTACCCCCCCCCCCCCCCGGCAGATCCCAGATCCTCTTTGTGTGTTCCAGATGAAGCTTTTTCTGTGGACAGTCAGCTGGAAACCAGACTAAAAACGCAGCGTGCCTCCAGATGGTTTTTGGCTCTGAGTGGGGGGGGGGTTGGCCTATGTGGCCTGCTGGGGAGGGGGGGGGGCCTCCTCGGGGCTCTGCTGCCTGACGTGCTGCTGCAGGAGGAGGGACAGGCGTGCCGGGTGGTGCCCCAACATGGCGGCCGTGCGGGAGGTGAGCACGGTCAGCCCGCTGACCAGCTGGCCCTGGACCACCGTCACCGAGGGCAACTTGGAGAAGCCGACGAGGCCCTGGACGCTCAGCAGGGTGTCGTCCACGCAGCCTCCTGTAAGGAGAAGAGCAGCGGTTAGGAGTCTTCCTCCTTTTAATGGGAGGACAGCCCGTGTAAAAACAGGCTGTTGAGACTAGGGACGTCCCGATCCACCTTTTTTTTTTTAAACTTTCGATCCGATACCGATCCCGGCCTATCGGAATCATAATCAGAAATACTTTAATAATCCCAGAGGGAAATTATTTAAGATGCTATCAGAGCATCTATTAAGGTTAAGAGCCCGTGTAAAAACTTCTGCCAACAGGCTGTTGATACTAGGGATGTCCCAATCCATCTTTTTTCCCTTCCGATCCCGGCCTATCAGAGCATGTATTAAAGTTTAAAGTTATTTATCTACTTACTTAGTTGTCAGACTCATGATGAACAGGGATTTACTCTGATAACAACTTAATGGTTAGGACCCAGACCTGTGGGTTAGGAGATGCTAATGCTAGTGTGGGATCGGACACGACTTCAGATCCAGAAAAACTGGATCTGAAGTCTGGATCTGTATTTTCTCCTTTTCTCCTTTCGGCAGATACGTATTTTTTGCAAATATCAGCGGCCGATCAGATCCAAATATCGGATCAGGACAAGCCTAGTTGAGACCTCTGAAGAGAACATTTTTAAAACAATCCGGCTACAGGATACATACCAGCCATTTGATACAAAGCACAAAAATTTGAAAAATATTTCCAAATCACAGAAGTTTGTAGCAGTCACACGTTCTCAGTGAATAAATATGATGACGTAATGATGACTGAGGCACAGCGACACCCACCCAGGAGAGTAATCTGCGGGCTGGCCCTCAGAGCGGACAGCATCTCCTTCACCTTCGGCTCTTTACTGACCAGCAGAACGGTCGGGCCGATGAACAGAGGAGTCATGCTGCTGTAAACAGAGTCGCTGAGGAACGATCGCGTCACCTGAAAACAGAAGTAGAATCAAATCTATAAAGATCCCACGTGGAAAGTTGGTTGGCAGGATGTAAGAGTTAATTACAAAACAATGTTTAGTAATTAACTCTGAAATAATGTGTCTGCCAAAACCATTAACAGTGAATAACTGCTTAAAGGTTCCCCTTTTTAAACACCACAGTGGAGCAAAGACAAAATATAAATTGGAAAAAAGGAAGAGGTGCTTCAGTCTGACAGTTTCAGGGTTCTCAAGCTGGTTAATGGCAGTTTTACTTCGTTGGGGAAGAACTTGACCCGGATGCCGTGTTTAAAAAGCCGGTGCTTTAGGGTCATCATGTCCTCGGCGCTGCTGCTGTTGTTCTGGACCACGGCGATCATTTTGTTGTCCCGGAAAACACTTTTCAAATCATTCTTCAGGATCAACAGCAAACCGCTATCCTGCCCACAGCAAAGAGAAAAGACTGTTTCAGAGTAGAGCTGCGAACCTCTGAATGAAAACAATACAGATAAGAGACTTTTGTGCTCATCAAGAATATTACACGTCGGTTAATCATCTTACTGGGATTACGCTTTCTGTTTGAGGATCATTTAGCAAGTTAAAAATGTTTCATTTAGTTCTACGTCTGAGCACAAACCTCCATGTCAAACAGCTTAAATGGTAAATACAAAAGTTAAGCTCTAAGGTAGACAAAAACGTACATTTATGGCCTTTAAAGTACAAATACAAGGTTGAGGTGGTGCTTAATATGGTCTTAGGGGAAGTGAAGCCTTTCTAAAATAGGCTAAAAAAGACGGACTGTCCCAGATGAGAAGACACGATCGATGCTGGTCCCTTACCTCTTGAACCTTTTGGCTTTCGGACGGATACGCGCCCAGAGGAGCCGCCCGTGGAGGAGGGACGTACTTTGTGACGGCCAGGAGCTTCTGTTTGAGCAAGTGGATGGGTTTCCTGTGTCGGGTCACCGATTTGGAGCCGTGCCGGACACTCTGTGTCAGAGGCAGCCACCCTGAAAGCCACAAAACATGTCGGATAAACATCAGCCGGTGGCCGTGTAACTGCGTAGCTAATATCTACTAACTGAAGCTTGTTTAACCGAAATACTGCTAACACCGCTAACAGAAACTAGCTATATAAACACCAACAACACATTATTAACGATTTACACTCAGAAAGTGTACAGTAAATACAAAATATTCAGTGTACAGTACCCTGTTTAGGTAGCAACCGTACACACAAGGTCGCCGCCATCTTTGACAGGAAAGGGCTACGTCGGAAGTGACGACATCGCCATGGAGCAGTTCAAGGAACATCGTTAAAAAGAACCTCTTAAGAAATCGCAACGCAATAGAATTTGATTTAAAGAGGATTTGACACAGTTAACAAAAAAATACAAATGACCAGGACGTAATATAAAGATGTGGTTACGAAAAAATCAAAACAATCTGTGAAATATGTTCACTGAGGCAAGAACCAAAATAAAAGACGCTTATTGAACGCGTCACGACGTCTTTGGACGTATCTTCTGAATAATCACATTATATCACGCGCATATAAATCACAGCTCAAACTTTTGTGCTTTATAACACGGTAAGTGTATGGATATATTTTAAAACCGTCCTGTCAGCTATTATCCTTTGATAATTCATATGTCTGCGTGCAAAACCCTGTGCACGTTTTCATAATCGTTTACGTAAAGGAACAGTTACGTCAGAGTCGTTTTGACAAGCATGAGGCGCATACTCAGTGCGACTTTATTGAGGCATTTCAGCCTATTTGGAAGAAATCTTCCCTCTCGGGTCTCGCTGACAGTGGGGAGTCAAAGCGTTTTTTCTCTGGATTTCTGCAGGAAATCGACGACTGACAGCAACAACATGGACCTGAGCAACATGAGGAAGAAGTACAAAGGAGATGAAGAGGTGAGAGTCAGCAGAACTGCTAGTTTTGGTGCCCTGAACAAGTCCAATCCACATCTGGTGAAGGTCACGAAGCTTTAAGGTGCAGATATATGCTCAATTGTGTTTAAACTGACATCTACAACAGCCCTGAATCGCCAATCCAAAGGAACTGACCATGTCTCCTCCCAGAGCCAAATTGGGAAGTGATCTCTTTGCTCTGCATGCAGTTCATATGAGTGATCAAGTTTCTGTTTTTGTCTGTGCTTCTTGGCTGTTTTCCTCCCAGTGCTTCGAGGAGAGTCAGCTTGTGTCCTTGGACCCAATCAAGCAGTTTGGAAACTGGTTCGATGAAGCCACGAAATGTCCTGAGGTCGGAGAGGCCAACGCTATGTGCATCGCCACGGCCACCAAGTAGGAGACTCACCAGAGAAATACTGGTCTCATTCCCTATAAACAAAGCTCAGATAACAAAAGTGTTGAGAAAGCTGCAGAAATGGGAAATACGGTGGAACTTTTCTTTGATTTTATTGGTCTAAAATCAACCTGTTTTCTGTGGTTTCCCTTTTCTCCTACAGTCCATAAAGGGCACGTTTTGTCTTGTATTTTAAATTGACTATTTCAAATGGGCACATTTTTATGCTCGAACATAACATTTAGACATATTTAAAGTTGTATATGCAAAGGTTCGGATCAGAAGGTAAAAGAGGGAGTCTTTTACTACAGTTTTCTGTTTTTGGCTTTAAGTTCTTACTGGTTTCTCTCCTCTGTCTGGTCAGGGATGGACAGCCGTCTGCCCGTATGGTTCTCCTGAAGGGTTACAGCAACGAGGGTTTCCGTTTCTTCACAAACTATGAGAGCAGAAAAGGCTCCGAGCTGGTGAGTCCCTCCTTAGGTCAATAATCAACTCATCAATTAATTCAATAATTGACGGAAAACATGATTAGATCAATGAAAATAGATACAATAATGCAACAAACAAAACAAAATGCAAGAACTGAGGGTTTTGTCATTTATTGGCATTTTCTGTTTGATTCTATATTCTTTATGTAGTTGAGATCAATTTATTTTCAGTTTAATGTTCATAAATGATCATAATCACTGGTTTCTACATTAATTCGGTTAATGACTTGATTTGACTTGTTCATTTTTCTCAAATATTCAGATAAATAAAGTTGTTTGGATGTGTCCACTTTGGGTTCTGGAGGCTTTTTTTTACAGTCAGAAACAGAAAACCATTTCCAGGTCTCTGTTTTCTGTCGACTGGTTTAACACTCCCTGTTTATAACTCACTTTGCTGGAAGTCTTTCGCTGTTTTGACTTGTGCGTTTTGTGAATTTGAACCTTCTCTGTTGCCGTATTTTGATGTTGGGCTCCTTTGGTCGTTTTCACAGGAGAGTAACCCGTTCGCGTGCCTGGTTTTCTACTGGGAGCCCCTAAACCGACAGGTACAGGAATCCCCTCCGTTTCCAGCAGCCCTTCGTGCTCGGTGAGGAGAATCAGACTCATTTTTCTTTGCAGATTCGCATCGAGGGCTCGGTGGAGCGAATCCCCTTCCAGAGCTCCTGCGATTACTTCCACTCGCGGCCGAAGAGCAGCCAGATCGGGGCGGTGGTGAGCCGGCAGAGCACCCCCGTTCCCAACCGAGACGTAAGGCCAAAGCCGAGCGGCTGAAGGTTTAAACCCGCCAAAATAAAGGCTCATTTTCAGGGGTTTCTTTCAGTATCTGAGGCAGAAAAATGCAGAGCTGGAGGAGAAGTACAAGGACTCCGAGGTGCCCATGCCCGACTACTGGTAGGCATTTCCTGCTATTTTCTTCCTCTATTGAGAAATCAAACAACGATTCCCTGTTTGTTAAAAGGCTAATTTCTGTGTTTAACTGTGAAACAGAAAGCAGAAAAAAACCTGGTGGTTTAACGAGTTAACGCCAGCCCACCAACACCAGTTAATATCTTTTAGCCCTGGTTTCATCATTTGGATCCACAGCTATTTTCCCCCCAAAATAAAGGCCACTTATCACAGTACACTAATATAACAACCCTGAGTCACATCTACCACACCTAGAAGTAATAAGCATGTTTATTAATGTCATTATCTGGCAAATATGATGGACTCCATCTTATTAAAACTGGAAAATATGAGTAAATATCATAAAACGTATTCACTGATTAACTTCCTTCTTAAATAACTTTATATATGAGCACTTTTCTAAATCAGAATCCAGCAAAATGATCAAACAGCTGTGAAGCAAAATGATGAGATTTGGGGGATCTGGGCCTTTTCCAGGCATAAGACAGACAGGGTGTCTCAAAAAGAGTCCGTATCATGTCGTTTTTAGGTCCACACCCTTCTCCACTGTTGCTTTAAATTCAGATACATTCAATTTGCTGCTTAAAAGAACTTTTAAAGCTTTTCTTTGGTCCAGTTATAGTGAAATATTCCTGGAAAATAAGCCTGTATAGTTAATTTCATGGCTCAAAACAGAAAGGGTATATATTTATATTATTCTCTTCATTCAGTCACATAGACACTGGTCATTTTTCTGTAATTTGCCTGAGTTTAAATGGAATCGCAGCCTCAGATTGCCTCGTTTTCCCTCCTATAATGTCTCTTACGGAGCTAACGTCCTGCTCCTCGTGGTGCGTTCAGGGGCGGTTACCTGGTGAAGCCTTCCCTGATCGAGTTCTGGCAGGGGCAGACCAACAGGCTGCACGACCGCCTGGTCTTCACCCGGATGAAAGACGGGGAGAAGCTGGGAGACTTCCAGCACGAGGCGGAGGAAGGGTGGGTGTACCAGCGCCTGTCGCCATGACAACACCCCTCAGAACGGAAAAAAAAAATCACCATCTTTACCTCATTTGAAACAACCAACATCTGAATTTACAGCTGGAAACTATTTGATGTCTTTTGAAGGAGCCAAACGCACCGTGCAGCTTTTTTTTTTTTTCTTTTTTTTTCTCCACTTGTGATGTAATGCTGTCAGGTAATCGTTGAGGCCGGGTGGATTTGCGGCGCTTTTGTCGACCTTCAGGACAAACTGTGTCTCATTTTACTTTAGGAAAAGCACAGTCAGCACCGAGGAGAAGACGTCCTCATTGTTCAACAGATCCTCATATTTCTGTGGTAATTAAAGGGAAAATGGACACAGCTGTTTGAGTTTAGGCGACTTCATTTGTTCCCAAACTAATTAGGCTATTTCCATCTGTGGACCTTCCTACGAATAACTAATTATCAACCTGTTCCATTTAAATCTGAAAAAAATTAGCGATAAAAGTATTGAGAGTTGATTTTTATTGGGATGAAATAAAAATTCAGCCTGATCTGGCTTCTGCTAACAGTATTTCTCATAATTGTATGTTGATGTGATCCTTAAGTGGCTTTTCTGAGATTATAAAGGTTAAAATAAGAGTGGACGGTTCTTAAAGTGTCTCTGTCTCTGTTGTTTTTTCATTGATAACATCCTGCTGCTGAAAACACTGCAGAAAACCTTTCACACAGGATTCTGATCAGAAAAAGGTAATTTTTGTTGGTAAATTCAAAATGAATCGATTTTTGGATGTTAATCTATGAGGGTGACTCTAACTGCCTTTTAACAGTGAGATTAAAAGAGCCGATGCTGTTATTCGTGCCAACTGTTGTGTCTTGTAACAAGATTGTATTTAATTTTTGACATGAAATGTTTAGTAGAAATGATTAATAAAGTTTCATTTTTAATTCTGGAGACTGGGAGCTTCTTTGGCCAGCAGATGTCAGCAGCCACACAAAAACAAATCTCAACAGTGAGGAAAACTGAGAACTGAACTGAGAGCTTGAACTATAAACTAACTTTTTGCAATATATTTCACAATACTTCTGAATCCTGCATTAGAAATCTGAAAAAATGCACCACATGAGGGGGCAAATGTCAGGATCTAATTACTGTTGCCATGCCAACGGCGACTGGTGTTAAACAACAGACAGCTTGATGACAAAGAAGTTGATCCCGGCGAGATCAGCTGTCTCAAAGCCATCTCCACTTGTTTAACCCTTAAATTTCCTGCAATTGTTTTGCTTAAATCACCTTTTTTTAAAAGACACACCTGAAAAAAACATAAAACTCTTCTTGAACAATGTTTGAGATCTATCTGAATTATATCCCCCTGCAGTCAGAATCCATCAAAGAGCCTGAAAATACTAAAAACTGAGGGGAAAAGACACATTGGGACCAGTCCAGATGGACCCAGAGCTACTTTAGGATTTGGGGCTCTCTTAGTCTTCCATTGATACTGATTATTGATAATCCACACACCTACAGTAAGCCAATCTGGGCCCACTTCTAATTAGACTGTAACAAAATAGGAGTGTTCGGAACAGGTTTTTTCTAAGGGTGGGTCCATTAGGGACATTTTTGTTCAACACTTTGGAAAAAGAGAGATGACAAAGCAGCTATGACATTTCACCAGGTTTATGCTTTTTAGGTGCTGTTACACATTTGATTGATAGACAAACACCTTACAGATAGTTTTTGTGTGAATCTTTTTGGCCAAAGGGAGTTGGCATCTGAGAAAAGGTCCGTCTTCAAAGCCCTGAAGGATCACAGTGTGAGCATCCACCACAATCTCCCAAACACAGCCTTTAAAATCAACTCTTTTTATTTGCTTTTAATCGTAAAATTTGAGCTTCTGCTGAACGCATCCATGTGCATTGATTTTGCAAGACATAAAAACAACGACAAGCTCTACTTACATAGTAACAAAGTTTAGAAAATTACATTAAAGTTGCTTTTTCATCATGACAATCGCTGAGATCACGCTGGACTTTTCCTTCATGCCACCGAAAACATATAAAAACATCAGAAAAGTTGGTCTACATTTGATGTTTGCATCAAAACTTAAAGATTATTAGATGAACATCCATTTTATTAGCACCGGTTGTTTGTTTAGGTGTGAGTCCCAGGGCATGGTGCTTGACACAGGGTGGTGTTTATGGACTCTTGAGCCCTCTTCAAAGCTTTTGAAAGTGTGACACACTGATTTATGACACATTTCTGAAGAAGTATGTGCACTTTGCTATTTGTCCGTCTTCTTTTTGTGGTTCTCGTCGCTCTGGCTGTTCTCTGCGAACAGGCTGGGGTTCTCGGACAGTGTGGATCGGACCTTCTTCTTCTCCTTGAAGCGACCGGAGTGGGACACCTTGACGTGGCGGCCCTTTGTGGCCGATTTATCCACGATCTTCTCCAGTCTGGCGTTTAGCTGGCTGTCCATGTGGTCCGGTGGGGGGTTCGAGTGCTCCTTGTTTCCGTTGTTGGTGCCGTACTCCGCCGGGATCTCGTACAAAACTTTAGGCTCTGACTTCTTCTTGCGCAAGAAGGTCAGCTTCCACCAGCTCGGGTCAGCCATGGCACCAACGCAGACTGGAGGACTGCCCTGTAGGGACCACAGCACCCAGTTAGGAAGGCACAAAACACCCAGTTAGGAAGACATAACACCCAGTTAGGATGTAAAAAAAC